TCCAAATTTCTTCACATAAAATATGTGTGTTGCAAATATATATATTTTTTCCATGTATGTGCTCTGGCTTAAAAAATACAAGTGGCAATAGCATTACTTCAGTCCATCTGTCTCCTCAGCACACATTGATGCCAGGAGGAGCAGCTTTGGCCAAATGAAAAGGATACAACAAGTACCTAATAATTTCCCCACTAACCCCACACAATAAACAATTAATAGCTCTTTAAACAAATGAATACTATTTGCTGAACCTTCTATGTAAAGTTTTATTTTTAAAAATAGATATATTTTCTAATATTAGGTGTGACGAAGGGACATTAAGCAAGGAAGGGAACCAGCTCTTAGGGAATCATAACCAGTGCCCCGAGGCCAGATACTGTCTGGATACCCCACAGCCTCCTTGTGGGTAATGCCTGGTGATATGCTTTCCTGGCCACCTGATACTGGGCCAGTTCAACATTTCTAAGCTTCAGTTTGCTCCGGTAAAACGGAGATAATGAGAGCAGTCCCTTCACAAATGAGTGTGAGGATGAATTCAATTAATGCACGTAGACGGACTCCTTGCGTGCCTCGCACGGGGTAAACACTCCATAAAAGTGAGCAGCTGTTATTTATATGGTCCCCAGCCTGACTCACTGAGGCCAGCCTGCTAGGATCACACAGTGGACGGGGAAGCCAAGATTCAAATAAGTGCCTTTCCAACCCCACCGCCCATGCTTCCCAAAACAGAATAGTATATTGGACTGCAGCTGTGAAAAAGAGATAGAGAGAAGGAGGGAAAGGAGGGACAGTACAGGGAAGGGAAATGGAGAGTGAAAATGGAAATTTAAGAAAAGGAAACCGTCAAAGGAAAATGAGTGAAGAGTAATTAGTGGTTGGAAAAGAAAAAGGAAATCAGGAGGTTGAGAAAGATGAGGGAGAAGAGCCAGAAAAGAGCTGGGCAGAGAGCAATGAAGAAGCTCAGGGGACCCTTCCTCGCCTCCTCCTCCCCAGGCCCTGCCCCACCCCTCTGCTAACCGAATCCCTCCTGGAGCGTCTGCCTTGGCCACCTCTCACCTCTTTTGACTCCTGCCTGCCCCAGACACTCTGGCAGCTGGGGCCTCACAACTCCCTGATAGCTCCTCACTGCCCCAGGACAAAGCCCAAAGGCTTGAGCAGAGTGTTAGAGATTAGTTAGAGAAGGACTCCCACGAACCGTCAAGTGTTCTCCGCCCTCTTCCCTTTCACTCTCTTGTTAAGGAAATAGGCTCCCCCCCACCACCAAATTACAACCACTTTATTCATAAATGCTTTGCCTATTTTTTTATTCTCTCACTCATCAGAACACATTAGTGCTGTACTTCAATAGTAAACTGAAAAACTAATTTAATTTGTTCATGGCTGGATTTTTCAGTAAAAACTGTCATTTTAATTTAATAAGTTCATTTATCATTTACATTAAAATGATACTATAGGTATTTCTACAGTGTCATTTTACTTATAAAATATAATAATTGGCATTAATGTCTCCTTTTGTCATTAAAATATATTCACATATATCTCAGAATCCTCATAATCACAAATAATATAGATAATAGCATTTCCCTGAAACTCTACTGATATATTATGATTTTTATTTTTCTTTATTTCTTTCGGTTCTTTTCCCAGCTTTACTTACCTGTCTCTTCCCCTAATTTTGCCCAATTTTTTAAACTCCTAAACTGGAGATTGATATAACAGTGAAAGATGGCACAGTCAAAATAGTTTGCACCCCCGACCTGCCTAATCATGTTGTAGACCCACTGGCTAGAGCTCAGGTTTATAAATGTACAGGGGCCAATGACCTCAGGAAGGTGACCTGAATGGACAACGGGAAGATCTGGAAGTGATCTTTGAGGGGTTATTTAATCCAGTGACTTAGTTATTTATAATTGTTATTTGTCTGCCATACAGATCGCATTGTTGTGGCCAAGAATCATGATACTAACCAACCAGGTGACCTAACAGATAAACATTTATGAAAAAGGGCACCAATTCTGAACAGACCTGATTGTGTGTTGTGAACTCATGCCACATGGCATTTCCTGTTATAGAAAGTGCATAATGCTTGGTAATAGGAAAGTTTGTTACTGAAAAGTAATCTCAGGCAATGAGTGGTGGATAGACTCCTTTGTCAGAAAGCTGTTGTGGCTGGGCTTCTGTAGCTCAGGCAGGATAATTCCAGGTGGACGAAAGGGGATTCCAAAAGTCTCCCTTCATGCATAGATATTATGTTCAGTGTTAATGTTTGGGGTGCAGTCTCAATAAAGAACCATATTTTTAAACTAAGCCATATTGTCTGATGCCTTTACTGCTGTGATTTCTGATCCTGGAACACTAATCATGCTCTCACAAACCAGCATGGGGTCCTCTAGATCAGTTCTATGTCAATTAAGATTTTAAAGCTACTCTTAATGAGTATTTGGTTTAGTAGGAAAGACAGACTGCTAAACAGCTAAAAATGATGAAGCATTATAAGTAGTATACAACAGACAGAATAAAGAGTGAAGAAATACAAATGAGGGAGCCATTTTATTGGATTGAGGGGCAGGTGAGGCCTTAAGGGGTGAATACGAGTTTTCTAGGCAGGCAGAGTTGGGAAGGGCATTTCTGTTTGACTACATGGGCAAAGGTCTGATGGCAGCAAAGTGCGTGGAATGTTTAAGGATCATGGTGGGGAGAGTGGCAGGGGGAGGGTTAGAGTTGAGCGGAGAAGGTGAATTGGTAAGAGTGGGTTAGGTCAGAGTGTGTTGAGAGTAACGGAAGTAGAGGTAGTGCTGGAGTGTGGAGGAGAGAAGGTGGGGAGCAATCTCTCTGTTCTCTACTGTGGGAAATCTTAACTCATTCCTATCAGTGCTTCCCGGACCGAGCTGCTAACCAAAAAAACCAAAAAAACCAAAACGAAAACAAAGCCCTCTCTTTTTCTCCCCCATGTGTTTTTTAATGTTGATTTTTTAAAAGTTGAGGTATATTTGACATATAATATCATATCAGTTTCAGGTGTACAACATAACGATTTCATAGTTGTAGATACTGCAAAATTGCCACAATAAACCTAGTTGACAATAGGCATTACTATAAAAGTATTTTTGTGTGATGAGAATTTTTAAGATTTACTTTCTTAGCCACTTTAAAAAGTACAGTATTGTTAACCACGGTCACCAAACTCTACATTATATCCTTACGACTTACTTATTTTATGACTGGGAGTTTGTACCTTCTGACCACTTTCGCCAGTTTTGTACCCTCCAAACCCTTACTCTGGCAACTACCAACCTGTCCTCTGTCTCTCTGTGCTTGTTTTCTTTTTTCTTTTGTTTGTTTTAATTTTCTGTTTTTTAGATCCCACATATAAGTGAAATCATATGGTAATTGTCTTCCTCTGCCTGACTTACGTCACTTAGCATGATGCCCTTGATGTCCATTCACATTATCGCAAGTGGCAAGATTTCATTCTTTTTTATGGCTGAGTAGAATTTCTTTGTATGTATACAGCACATTTTCTTTATCTATTCATCTATCGATAGACATTTAGGTTGCTTCCATATTTTGGCTATTGTGAATAACACTGCACTAAACATGGCGTACATATATCTTTTCCAATTAGTGTTTCCTTACCGTGTTTTTGTTGTTTTGTTGTTGTTTTCTTTTTGTTTTTGTTCGCTTGGTTCCTAAGCCACTTATCCCATTGTTTATTGATTGGTTTAGATGTCTACCTTTCTCAGTAGGCTGGGAAGCCCTTGAAGGAGGGGATTTTGTTTTACCTGTTTAGATTACTTGGCTACATAATTGATGCCAAATAAATGTTTTTTAGATTTGTTTATTCTATAGCTTAATGTTCCGACTAAGGTATTTTACAGCTTAAAAATTTTAACGATTATATGATCCTGAATATTAACATCTTCCACACTGTCCTAATTTTAGGCAGCTTAAATGGCAGAAATCATTATCTTTACTGAAGAACTTTTTTGGCATCATAGCTTGTTTAGCATGAATCACTTTTTTTCTTAAATGTAATTTGTTTAAATTTAAAGTTCTGTGTCTAGGAAAGTGAAATGTTCACATTGCAAAACTAAAAATAACACACTGAAGGGATGATGCCAAAATAATTGTTTCAATCAGAAATGCTTTCTGAATCCAGAGTCTAAATGAGAACTAATTACTGAATTAGATCACAGTTACTAGGCATTCATTGTTTTAAGGCAGTTAGCAACAGTATTGAGAAACCTAAGTAATGAAATATTTTTAAACCCCTCCAGTTTTGTTCAGATTTCTAATGCATTGTGATAATCAAATAAATGTTCCTTATATGTATGATGCAATATGAATGATTATCTCTTATAGTAAAGTTTTAATGAAGAATATTATTCTCATTCTCTTATTGAATAGACAGATTCCCTCAAATCAGAGCCCACTGACAATATATTGTTTTTATTTAAGATTAATTTTGAAAGAAGTGGTTTTATTTTGCTGTATAATTTACTAAATTGGCTGAGATCAATCTACTATGGAAGTTTTCTGTAATTTCTATAGAGAAGTAAAAGATTGAATAAGCCTGTTAAAGAAACTGTGTGTGGCTGCAAAAGTGATTTCTGGAGCTTGAAACACAGATATGGGATGAGGAAACCTCAGGAACCTACATTTAACAGTCCTTGTTGATCTGTGTCTCACAAGGCTTAACAATATTAATTTCAGGAGCAATTTGATTTTGCTTAATTCTTCTTTCCTTATCTGGAAACATTTTCTGTTTATTTCATATATAAGGCATAAGGTCTTTAATAATATAACTGATCAGTGTGTCAGCACAATTTATAATCCATGTAGTAACTTAGTAATATGCTTTAGAGATCATTTAAATTCTGGTTATAAACTGTTAAATAATTTAACGCTCATTTTTTCAACAGATGTGAATTATTAAAAAGAAAAATGGCCCAACGGAGCACTGTATTTCCTTCTCTTGTCACCAAGGAAAGGTATAATATATGGAAAATATGCATCTAAGGTATACTTTTTCTTTTCCATGAGGGCTGCTAGTGGGTGTGATGGTCATTATAAATGAAGCCTTACTGCTGTTACATTATCTGAGAATGATTTTGTTCATGGGCGAGAGCAATACTGTTGTGTACCCTTTCTAGCTCTCGATTTGTAGCATACTGTGGACCATTCTGTGACCATGAGAGGTGGAGATTTCAATGTAGCCTTACGGTACCGATGTTCTTTTGGTCAACAGTGAAATACATAATTCTGGAGACTGCCGGGGCTGATGTTCCTGCTAATCCTTTTAAATCAGAAGTTGCAAGTTGGGTGCCCATAGGCCAATACTGGCTCATGGAAGTACATTGTTTGATTTGCATCATTTTAAATACTTATTAAATGAGTTGTTAACACTAAAAACATCAGCCCTAGCTGGTGTGGCTCAGTGGACTGAGCGCCGGCTTGCGAACCAAAGGGTCACTGGTTCAATTCTCAGTGTAGGGCACATGCCTGGGTTGCAGACCAGGTCCCCAGTGGGGGGCACACAGGATGCAGCCACACGTTGCTGTTTCTCTCCGTCTCTCTCCCTCTCTTCCCCTCTCTAAAAATAAATAAATAAATAAAATCTTTAAAAAACACTAAAAAAATCAGGTGATTTCACATACCAGTGTGAATTTCCCGGCTCTTCTTGAAATGTCAGATAATCTGGGAAAGTGGACATGGCATTTCCACATAGTCAGTCATGGGGGAAGCAGAATTTTGGCTTGCTATAGTTAAGGGATGCCCTTTCCAGCTCTCCAAAGTCCCCATCACTCCCTTTTGCATCATACGTGATGTGCTTCACTCATTTATGTCACCTGCCTGACGCTTGTAGATATTTGGGTTTGTAACCCTGCTTCGGGGGGAGAAACGAGGAGGGCACGTCAGGAGATTTTGTTAAGAAGGCTGATCTTGATAACACAGCTTATATTGGCAAGTCCTCTCAGTGTGCCCGAGTCGGCCAGCCTCTTGCTTTCGAAGGTCATGGAACCTGTTACCAGCATACTTTACTCTTTTAGTACAATTGTTTAAAGATTAATGAGTTTTCAGGAAGAAAACTTTGGGGCAGAATCCCTGCCTGAAGCCTCTTTTAGCTTGTCGGGGTAGATGATTTGCATTTTCTTCTCTGGGAAGTCTTGAATCTGGCTTTAAACATGCCGTTTCCCGCAATGAACAACCCAGGTAACATGGCTCCTTTCCGCAGGCGAGTTAGAACCATGCCCCGACACAGCCAGTCCCTGACCATGGCGCCCTATTCCTCTGTGAGCCTCGTGGAGCAGCTGGAAGACAGGATCCTCTGCCACGAGAAAACAACGGCGGCCCTCGTGGAGCATGCCTTCCGAATTAAAGATGACATCGTCAACAGTTTGCAGAAAATGCAAAACAAAGGAGGAGGCGACCGCTTGGCCAGGCTTTTCTTGGAGGAGCACATCAGAAACATAACGGCCATAGTGAAGCAGCTTAATCGGGATATCGAGGTAAGGCTTGTGAGTCTATCGTGCGCCGGACTCCTATCCACAGACCAGTTCCACGGAAGGAGGTCGGCCAGTCTAACTGCTGCCTCCCAGGCGGTAATGCCTTCAGACCATAGCTGTCTATCTTGTCTATTCTTAATGATCGTCAAGGAAACAGCTTGAACAAATATCCTTGTTTAATTTATTCCAGTATTTGATAGCATGTACTGTCAGCGTTATTTCTGTTTAATCTAAATTTGCCTGGCTGATTATTAAATCACTTTGTTTTGTTTGGCTCTCAGTGGAGAGAGAGAAGAACTAGTCTAATCGTTTCCCTGCAACAAACCCTTCATATTGTTGAAGAAGGCTATTAAATCAATTACTAGGTCACCCTTTGCTCTTCTGATTACATGTTTCTAGGTCATGATGATTACATAGTTTATTACTCAAACGACCTAGAGATTTGAATTGCTTCTCAGATTTCTTTTATTGTTTTATTTTTCTCTTCATTGAGCTCAATAAAAGGCCAATATTTTCTAATTTTAGAATTTGTAAATTTATTGCTATTTATTGAGCAATCACAGGGATTACACAATTTAGTTCAGAAACCTTAAAATCATTTAGGGCCTAGGCTTTCATCACTGAACAATGTTAATATCTTTCACACGCAATTTTAAAATATGTGAATAAAAAGTGTATTGACTAGATTAAGAAAAACCTTTGTTTCAAGTCATAGAGACTGTGTCTTAATTATGCTTAGGAAATTAAGCCTCATTTTTTTGGTGTCAGATATATATGTCTGTATGAATGTACGAGTATGTATGTATGTACATATGTATTGAACAGCCCCATCGAGGTATAATTTAAAAGCCACAAAAATTCACCCATTGTAAGTATACAACTTGGTGATTTTTAGTAAATTTATAGAATTTTATATCCATCAACACCAGTTAGTCTTTGAACATTTCTATCACACCCCCAAATTTATATAAGCCTATCCATTCCTACCTCCACCAGTGCCCCAGACAACTATCAACCTGCTTTCTGTCTCTATAGGTTTGTCTCTTCTGGACATTGCATATAAATGAAATCTTATAGAATCTTCTGCATCTGGCTTCTTTCACTTAGCATAATCTTTTTGAAATTCAGCCATGTTCTAGAATGTTCTTTTTATAACTGAGTAGTATACAGTTGTATGGATATACCACATTCTGTTTGTCCCTTCTTAATGGGCATTTGGATTTTTTCCAGTTTTTAGCTATTATGAATAAAGCTGCTCTGAACACTTGTGTATAAGTCTTTGCGTAGGCATATGTTTTCATTTTTCTTGGGTAAATTACTAGGAATAGAATTGCCAGGTCTCACAGTAAGCTTATGTTTAACTTTTTAAAACATAGCAAACCAATTTGGCAACATGAGTATATCATTTTACAACTCACCAGTAATGTATGAGGTTTCCAGTTTTTCTATATACTCGCCAACACTTGGTATTATCTTTTTAATTATAGTCATTTTAGTGCATGTGTAGTGGTTTTAATTTATTTTAATTTAATTTTATTGTGGTTTTAATTTGAAGTTTCCTAATGACTAATAATGTTGAGCACCTTTTCATGTGCTTATTTGTCTTATTTGCTAAAATGTCTACTCAAGTCTGCTGCCTATTTTTTTAAAATTAATTTTTTATTGTGGTAAGATATTTTCCATGTTGTCATTTTTAAGTATACAGTGATCTTAATTGAGTGATCTTAATTACATTCACAATGTTGCATGCGATCATCACCACTATTTCCAAAACTTTTTGATCATCCCAAATAGAAAATCTTACCCATTAAACAGTAACTTCCTATTCCACACTTCCCTCAGCCCCTGATAACCTCTATTCTATTTTATGTCTCTGTGAATTTGCTTATTCTAGGTATGTCAAATAAGGGGAATTATACAGTGTTATCCTTTTGTATCTGGTTTATTTCACTTAACATGTGTTCAAGATTCATCCATGTTGTAGCATGTGTTAGAATCTATTTTTAAGTTGGGTTAGTTGTCTTATTCTATAGTTCTAAAAGTTTCATAGCCTAGATGCAAGTCCCTTATCAGATATGTGATTTGCAAATATTTCTCTCATTCTGTAACTTACATTTTTATTTTTCTAATTGTATCTTTTGAAGCGCAAAATTTAAAAATTTTAATGAAGTCCAACTTACCAGTTTTTTTTCTTTTATAGTTTATACTTTCAGTCTTGTGTCTTAAAAACTATTTGCTTAACCTAAGGCTGCAAAGATATTCTCCAATTTTCTTTTAAAGTTTTAGTTTTCATTCTTTATATTCTGTGATCCAGTTTGAGTTCATTTTCATGTATGAAGTGAAGTAAAAGTCTAAGCGTTGGGGTTTTTTTTCCATATAGATAGCCAAGGAAAATCTATCATTTTCCCATTTATCTCTTTGTTGAAGGTCAATTGACCATAAAATATAAGGGTTTAATTCTGGATTCCATTGATCTGTATGGTTTTCCTATGCTGACAGCATATTGCCTTAATTTCTAGCTTTAGAGTGCATTTTGAAATCAGGTAGTTTTAGTCTTTCATCTTTGTTCTTTTTTTCAAAATTGTTTTGGCTACTCTAGGTTCTTTGCATTTTCATGTAAATTTTAAGATCAGTTTGTCAATATTATAGAAAAGCCTGCTGAGATTTTGACAGAAATTGCTTTAAACGTATAGATTAATTTGAGGAGAATTGCCATTTTAATAATAATATTGAGTCTTTATCATTTCAAAGACCAACTCTTGGCTTTATTAATTTTTTCTATTGCTTTTCTGTTTTCTACTCTGTTGATTTCAACTCTATCCATTTCCTTTTTTTCCTGCTTACTTTGATTAAGTTTGCTTTTCTTATTTTAGTTTCTTAAGGTAGAAGCTTAGGTAATTGGTTCTAGATCTTTTTTTTCTGATATTGATATTTAAAGCTATAAAGTTGACTCTAAGCACTGCTTTAGCTGCTTCCCATGAATTTTGGTATGTTGTGTTTTTGTTTTCATACAGCTGAAGATATTCTAAAACTTCCCTTTTGATTTTATTTTTGGCTCATGTGTTATTTAGCAATCTGTTGTTTAATTTCCAATGTTTGGGGGTTCCCCCAAATTTATTTCTTATGTGGTTGTGGATCTCTAATTTAATTCCATGTGGGAAGAAAATATACTTTGTATATTTTTAATCTCTCTAAATTTATTAAGACTCTTGTTCTATCAGTTATTGAAATCTCCAGCTCTCATTGTTGAATTGTCTATTTCTCCTTTTAATCCTGTCAGTATCAGGGAGTTCTGTTGTTAGGTGCATAAACAGGGTGGAGTGAAAACAGGTTTACAGTTGTTCATATAGAAAATAATACAATAATTAATAAGTGATGATACAAGAATAAACTCTGTGTTTTGCATACTCAACTCTAAACCTAGTTTTGTCCCACCCTGTACATTTGAGGTTGTATATATCTTCCTGATATGTTGACCTTTTTGTCATTATAAAATGTCCCTCTTTATCTTTAGTAGCATTTCTTGTCTTAAAGTCTACTTTGTCTGATACTAATACAACTACCCAGCTCTTTTGTGGCTACTGTTTGCACAGTTAATTTCTTTTTATGATAATTTTTGCTTAGCTTATGTATAAGTAAAGTCCTGGTCTACCACACGGTTGCTAACTTTCACTCTTCTTTGAGATTCTCACATATCTTTAGTAAGGACTGAGATTTACTCAGGGCTGTACCCTAAGTACATTTGTCTTTAGGAGTCTAAACTTTCTGGTCTATACGTCTTATGATATTTAAAGGGCTATGTGTTTGGTATTAATGGGATGTAGCAGATCTTTGTTGCTTTGGAGACTGGTGGTATCCGTTCCAATTTCTTTTGGTCACAGCAATTCGATTTTCTTTTGGGATTTATTTTTCTTTCATTGGATACAGACTGCATGGCTATTAGTCAGGGTGCCTTATCACCTTTTTAGCTAAAGAGGATTGGAGTTCATAACTCAGACTATAACATGGAGACGCTTACATCCCAGGGCTTGACACCTGAGCAGAGTGACCCAAAGACCGGAAACGAGTGGAGCGCCTTCCCCACAGCAGCTGTGCCTGTGGAATACTGGCCAGTGATTTTTGCTGTCCGGGCCCTAGGAAATGCCTTTTGTGTCTTCTCAGTCGGGATCCTCAGCTGCCCTTCTGAGTGTGTGCACTTCTCCCCTATATCCTTCCATAAATTTCATCCCCCCGCCCAAGTCAGCCAGAGTCAGGTTCAATCGCCTGCAACCAAAGAGCTCTAATGACATCAGAGGGGGCCTAGGAAATTTAAGAAGTTGCCAGAGATAATTTACTTGGTTTTGGAAGGTATGTGTCTACATTTAGAATGCTCTTTCCAGTTTTATATTTGAGTACTAAAGCAATGTTATCCCAGAGGCTGAATCACTTGCCAATCTCAAGTTGGCCCCTTCACAAAACTGAAGAGCTCCAAGTTAAACATTTCATTTTGAAAGGGGTTAGAGATCATTTAGGAGGCTGATAGCCCCCCCCCCACACCGAAATAGATCTAAAGAGGGTGACAGATAAAACCAGAGTGATTGGGGATAAATAATGATTCTGCTCTGGTCGGTGTGGTTCAGTTGGAGCTTTGTGCTGTCACAGAAGGGCTGAGGTTTCAATTCCTGGTCAGGGCATGTGCTAAGTTGTGGGTTTGATTCCCGATCCCCAGTTCAGGCATGTGTAGGAAGGGGGAGGGGGGCTACCAATCGATGCTTCTGTCTTGTGTCGATGTTTCTCTCTCTCCCTTTTTCTCTCTCTAAAAGCAGTGAAAAAATGTTCTCAGGTGAGGTTAAAAAAATATATATAATGATTCTCATGTTCCCATTCTCTCAACCAATAGCAAAGAAGTGTGTCATAAAAAAAATACAAACACCCTGATGTTTCATCTTAGAAAATAGTGGGACCTCCCCATTCTCTCCATGCCCAGCATTTCCTGTGGGTGGTGGACAGACTAGAGACTAGAA